AGGCGATGCTGATGGCTCACGATTGCAGGGGCAATACTTATCTCACCGTGGATGACAATTATCAGCTGACCATTTACGCGAGTGTCCCAATTAAGCAAGACGAGCCTATTCTTTTCAATTATACCTCGTCACTACTGGTCAGTAAATAATATGAATTTGAAAATTATTATTTTGAATTTTCCCTGAATATAATTTTGCGTCAATATTGAATCAAACGATTTTTTTCTTATGTTAGTGATATATTTTTCTCGTTGCTTTCGTTTCTAAAAGAAAAAAGAATAATCACTAATGACGATTAAGAAGTCATTAATATTACATTAAGTCATTATATATATAATTTTATTATTATATAATAATAATTTAAAAATAACAATAGTTACAGTATATAACAAAATCATATATATATAATAGAATAAATAATAAAATTAAATATAAAATAGATATAATAAAAATTATATATTAATAAAAGTATATATAATAGAATGATATAATCATTTTTATTTTATGCAATATCAGAGTACAGTCGAGAGAAGAGAGCATCTTCGAGAGGGAAAATATTTCGAGTGCGAGTGTCCTTTGTGCGATGATCCTTACGAATTGCAATCGCATTTGAGCAGCGTGCTATGCCCGCGCTGTAAAGAAGGATTCGTGGGAATGCAAAATGCCTCTGTCATAGCACCATATGAGAAAACTAGTCGATGGCAATGCCAGATGTGCAGGAAATTTTACAGCGGCCGTCTTATCAGAGCTACGTTGAACATATGCAAAACACTCGTCGACGAGTGCGAGGATGTCGATATAAAAGTTCGCAAAATATATATTTTTATATACATATATATAATATACATATTTATAAATTTTTTTCTCTATTTAATTTTAACGACGTAATATTTTTTTAGACTATCGACGACTTGCTGAAGAGATTATCCCGATCCTTGCATACCAATCATTTCCTCATGCTAGCATTAAAGCAGAAATTATTGACGGCGTGTAGGAGAGAGATGACTTCACTCAATCCTCGGAAAAAGATTGTGCAAAAGATGCTGAATACGTGCAAGCAAGTCTACGATGTTCTGGATATAGTAGAGCCTGGCATATCACGTTCAAAAGGTTTTTTTTTCATATGCTGCATCTAAAAATATATTTTTTACGTCGCAAGATTGTGAGAGTATTTGTCAAATATTACCACAAATATTGATTTTAGGCATAATGTTGTATGAAATACATTTGCCTATGATAATATTGGCGAATCAATCTTATTCCGCCCGTGAGATCTCGTCGGAGCAGTTGGTCTGCCAGTTGGAAGAGGCCCGTGATCTTTTGAAGAAAGCTCTGACTATGCTTCTTTTGGAACCGGTGACGACTCCGGAGGGAAAATTAGCTAAGAGAGCACTCGAGGAATTACGTACGCTAAATCAAAATATAAGTGACGTAAAATCTTTACCGCCGGAAGAGCCAAAGGTCCATGCGCGTAAAGCAAAAGAACAGCGTAAAAAAAAGATCAAATAGCAACGAGCTTTTTTTAAATTTGTATGGAAATGTAGATTTCTAGAAAATGCAATTTTTTTTGCAATGCGCCATTATCATCATATATGCATTACATTGTGGAACAAAGAATTCGTATCATCTTGGATTTGTGATATGTTGTTTTTTTATTCTTCAATTATTAGGTTTGCGAAACACGCAACGTTACACAAATTTCGTAATTTAACAAATTGAACATTTACTTATTATTTTTCGAATCTATAATTTTTATCAATGCAAACACGATTTTTTTAATTGATAAACAATCTCGTTTAATTAATAAACTAACAAATTACTTATAATAACTGTACTTTATACAACTTGTAATAGTGTTAAAAAATAACAGATATTGTAATGGCTTATTTTTTGAATAATACATGCACACACACGCACACATTTTAAAAGGAAATAAAGAAACAAGTTGTCAATTATACATCTTTATGTGAAAAAAATATTTACAGTTTTGTAAATAGAAAATTGCAAGTTAATAAACACAAATTACTTCAAAATTTCAAAAGAAAAAAAGCCATAACTTATACATATATTTCTTTTTCTTCTTTATTCCGATTCGGATTGAGATTTTTCTTTACGCACACAATTTATTGTTATTTATTATATTTATTATATAATTATATAATATCACAATGCTGTATTATCTTGTATTTTTGCAAACTATTTTTCTTTGTAATATATAAGTAATATAACAATAAATAAATAAAATGAAAACAGCAGATTATTATTCATATAAGATGAACCTCAGTACATATTTAATGAATTTATATACATTTTAATTTCACACAATTTAAAGAAAAAAGTAACACTCCGGATTCCTAGAATTACGTATACTGTAATTTATACATTATAAATTAAAAAGTGTGATCGACTACAGAATTTTTAAAACTGCAATTTGTCAAAATATGTATCAGAATAAGAGTATCCATTTGAAAAAATAAATCAATTCGTTTTATTCCATATATTAATAACCAAGAAAGTCGAGTACGAGTCATTATCCAGTTCTTATAATTTTTTCTCCTCAATATTTGTACTGGGGTCAAAACTGGCATCATTCAAGCAGCCGCCGTACGAGAACATTTTTGGAATGTCTTGTCCATAATATATCTTCGCGTTGCGCGCTAATGCCTCGTACTTTTTGAGCTCTAAAAATTCTTTAGATAAAAGTAGTGTATTCGCCTCAGCTTGCATTTTCATTTGATAAAATTCGGCATCGGAACGGCTCTTTTGCCTCGCCAAATGCATCTCGTCTTCTATCGCAGCCATCTGTTGCAAAGACTCTTTCTCCATGATTTTCTGATTATACTGAATCTTTGCAACCTGTGCTTCCTTCTCAGCTTCGATGACAGCCTTCTTGCGATCAGTCTCAGCATCTTTCTCAACTACTTTTTGATGTTGCGTAGATATTAAAAGCTTTGTCTTTTCTCCTTCCCTAAATATATTAATATATATATATATATATATATATATATATATATATATATATACATTACATGTATAATATAATAAGAAATTTAAATAAATAAATATAAAAAATATAGAAATATATGCAAGAAAAATTTAAAACTTAAAAGAGAAAATTAATTAACAGAATCACTTACATTAATTCATAATTTTTCCTAATTGTTTCAGGAATTTTTGGTTTTGTTACTCTTACAGCCTGTATATTGAGACCAGGCGCTAATTCATTCAAGTCCCTTTGAAGCGCAGTTTTCAAGTTTTCATCAATTTGATCGAACAAATCAATGTAAACTTCATGCAGTGTATGTACAGAGCAAAATTGATTTAATTCATGATGCACTTTATTAAAATTAGTGTGCGATCGTAATCTGCTGTGAAATTTCTCACCATATTGTAAACTACAAAGAAATTGTATATGTTAAATATTGTACAATTAGTGAGCAAATAATATACGTAAACATATTCTTGAGAAAGAACAAGCTCCAAGAGATCTCACCGCTATTTGCATCTAATATATTAACAACTTCTATACGATCAAAATAGATCATTACACCACCGCTGGTTCCACATGGCACATTCTTCACCTCATCCGTCTGCAGAGTTACTTGCACAGAACGATATGTGGTCAGCAATGGTATCATCATATGAAAACCTGGATTACTCACTTGAGGTAACAGTGCACCACCCTGATAGACAATTATAGAATAGAAAAATCGAGGAAATTGTGAGATTCTTAAATACAATCAAAGAAATAGATTTGAAATAACTCACCCTGAAGTACACCCCCACATGACCCTCTTCAATACGATGAAGAGAAAAGTTGAACACTATTGCAAAACACACAAGGAAGCAGATCGCTATGATTCTTTGATCAAACATAATTATCTGTTTATGAGATGCTGAAAAAAATATACGAAATAGTTAATAATTTAGGAAATATATGTATATAAAATATATATATATATATGTGTATGTGTGTGTGTATGTGTGCCATATAAAAAATGCACATATATATATATATATATATCTTATATACATATATATATATATATATATATATATATATATATATATATATATATATATATATATATATAAACTGTACAAGAGATGCACAGATATATATCAAAAATAGAGCAAACATGAGTCACGAAATTCGAATAGCTTGAAATAAATAGTAGTTACGTAATGTGTGAATATAAGACGGTAGAAATTATACAAGGCACAATTAGCGAATCTTCATAATTCGGAATGCGACTTGTAGAAAGAGGTTATTTCGGGAATAATATATCCTACACACATACAGCTTATTGTCGACACACGAACGATATAGTACCTTCAAGTCAGAAGACGAAAAATGTGTGTCGCAAAGTAATGAGAGATCTATGATTATAATTAGAAATTACAACATAGTCAATTAAACTCATATTTGTGAAATTAATTCCTCGGTCTCATCCAGTAGCCATAGCGCTTCCTTCCAGTCGCTCTCTTTGACAGATATCGACTTTGGATAAAATATGACACGTCGGGAACGATGGAAACTGTATATATTAATTTTATAAAATAATTAATTGTAGTTTATGAATATTATTTATTTTAATATTATTTATTTATTTAAATTGTTATATTATACACTATATAATATATTATATTATATATTATATTATATATTATATATTAATATTATATATTATATTATATTATAATAAAATATATAATTTTAAAAATATTACATATTATAATATTAATTAAAAAAGAGAAAAATATTTTTAAAATAAAAAAAATATTTTTATAATAATATACACATACATATATATGAAATAATTGTACGAAGAAATTTTATTCTCTTCGAGACGGAATTTGAAATCACGATCGATTAGATTTTCGATCATATCGATTAATCGATTTGTATCGACTCGCTCATCGTGTTGACATAAGATACCGATGTTAGGTTGGGTTAGGTGAATTCTGAAATGATATGTATGTAAATAATTATTAGAGGTTTAATGGTGTTTTAATTTATTATATTGTTATACGATTTATTTAGAAAAATGGAGGTTAAAACAAAGAGCGAGCATTTACTGGCATTAAAAGGTAATCGTGAAATAATTAAAAAATTGCATTGTTTTTGCAAGCTTTTAGGTTATGCTATTTTAATTATTTTATTATATATATATATATATATATATAATATATAATTATTAATTAAATATAATGGTATGAAAAAATTATATATCCATAAAAATAATGAATTATTTTTCTCACAGTGATGAGATTAACACGACCTACTCTGGCAAGTCCTATGGTTGTTACCTGCGATTCAACAGATTTGCCAAGTAATACGCTAAACAATGAACTCAAGAATGATTGTACAGCGCTGCAGGGTATAGAAACGCTTGCTATAGGACAGTTTATGGTGTTACCTCAAAGCTTTGGGTAAGTTTCTCAGTTTGGAAATAATCCTTCTTATATTAAGGAAAAAGAATTCCAAGCCAGTGCTATAATATTTCTTCGAGTGATAGTTGGGTTTTATTTTAGGAATATCTATCTAGGAGAAATATTTTCCAGCTATCTATGTGTACATAATGGCAGTAATCAAGTGGTAAAAAATGTTACTGTAAAAGTAAGTATAATAGTATATAATTTTGGGATAATAATAATTGTTTTTTTTTTATCATGTTAAATTTTTATATTTTCTAATGTCCTATTCTTTCTGATATATTCTATAGGCAGATTTACAAACAAGTACGCAGACAATTTCCCTCTCTGGTAATCTAGAAGGAAAGGAATTAGCACCTGATAGTACAGTAGATGAAGTTATTCACCATGAGGTTAAGGAAATAGGTACACATATGTAAGGATATTTATAAATTCTTATAAAAATTTATTCTCGAGTTCAAATAAAAAAAAAATAATAAATAGATAATAAAAAAAAATAAATTTTTGTTATATTTCTAGATTGGTTTGCGAAGTGTCTTACACAAATCAGGTTGGAGGATCTCCATTGTCGTTTAGAAAATATTTTAAATTCCAGGTAGTTAAACCACTAGATGTGAAGACGAAATTTTATAATGCAGAGGTAATATTTAAGTATTTAATTGCACTAAAGTTATACATGCTTCATACAAATTGTTATTCTGCCGATATGTCTGCCAATTTTCATAGTAATATTTTCTTTAAAGTCAGATGAAGTATATCTCGAGGCACAAATACAAAATTTAACAGCTGGGCCAATTTGTTTAGAAAAAGTTGTTCTTGAATCGTCTCATTTATTTAATGGTAAGTTGTCTCTGATCATAATTGAAAATGATTGTAATTCTGATTAAGAGTTTGATTTTTGACATAAATTGTATTCCAGTAACTACATTGAATACGAACGACGAAGGTGAATCTATTTATGGAAGCGTAAATCTATTAGATACAAATTGTAGTAGACAATATTTATACTGTTTAAAACCACAATTAAGCCTAATGAAAGATCCGAAAATGATGCAAAATGCCACGAATATTGGCAAATTAGATATTGTGTGGAGGAGCAATTTGGGAGAGAGGGGAAGATTGCAAACGAGTCAGTTGCAGAGAATGGTACATTATATATATATATATATATATATATAATAAATATTATTCATAAATATATATTATTAAATAAATATTTCATTAATAAATATAATTATATGTATATAAAATTACATTTTATCTCAGGCACCTGAATACGGAGATCTGAGGGTCATCATGAAGGATGTTCCTTTAAAGGTGTATCTTGAAGAACCAGTTAATTGCACATGTCATATAATAAATACATCGTAAGTGCAAAATTTCAAAGAAGAAAACGTACACGATATATTATTGTGAACATAACAGGTCTTTCACTTTTTTTATTTGTAGAGAAAGAAGTATGGAGTTGCTATTGAGCCTAGAGTCCAATGATTCCATAGCTTGGTGCGGGATATCCGATACAACTATTGGTACTTTGAAACCCGGGGTTTCTATGGACATACCTCTTTGTTTGATTACGTTGACTACAGGCATTATTGTAATTTATTTTTATAGAATGTTTATACATTAGTATATGTATATATATAATATATACATATAAAATTTTATTTTATATATATAAACGCGTTTCTTTTTTTTACAGACTATCTCTGGATTAAAACTGACAGATACGTTCTTGAAAAGAGTATACGACTATGATGATTTAACACAGATTTTCGTCAATCAATTGGACTGAAATGTATGCATGCAATAAAAACTCTTTCTTCAGATGGCATCGGAATTTAGATGGCATTTTTATTTATAAACATATATAATTCATATGTCGGGATTATATAAAATATTTTATGGAATATTTAGAACATTCTTAATGTAATATATTTAAGTATTGATATTACCTTAATTTGTGTAATATAAAGAGATCTTTATTCAATTGTTCTAATAGATAATACTTATAATTTTGTATAAAAATGTATATTGAGTGCTAGGCAATCTCTGAACTCGATCATTTTTTAAATCAAATTTTATCATAAGAGTTACTTGATGTAATTTTGATGTACCAGAGTTATACTGAAGAGCTCATAAATATTCATCCATTGTTGACATTTTTTCGTTTTCACTGACAGCTCCTACCGCACATGCGAGTAATGTTTGAACGTCTTGTGGCTCATTACCACCGAAAACATATCCGCTGGCTTTATCCACCGCTTTTTTCACTTCTAACAACAATGCTTTATTAGAAACATCTAATGGTATAAAACTGACAAGACTATAGCCCTCGATTATCGATATTAGCGCTTTATTAAGTTTCTTGTGCCTGTAAAACATCACATCTACTTAGGAACTTACCGTAAAATATTTTACAAATTTGAATGGAACACATTCACATTTAAACATTATATATAATTTAAATACAATTAACTTACTTTCCAATAAAAACATCTTCATCCAATTGTTCTAAGAGATAATTCAAATCCAGTACTTCTGTGTAAAAATCTATATTGAACGCTAGGCAATCTTTAAACTTCTTCACTTCATCAAATTTTGTCATAATATTTACATGAGGTAAACCTACTTGTAACATCACTGTTGTGCAAAGAATCAGAGAGGATAAATATTTTCCTGTAAATAATAATAAAAAAATACACAATTAAATGTGAAATTCTAATAATCTAAATTATATATATATAATTAAAATTAATTTATTAGTATTTACCAGGATCGCTACAATGATGTGAATCTATAAGATGCACGCTGCACAATCTTATTAAATTCTCACTCAATTTCTCTGTTATCCGACTCACTGATTTATGATGTGTATACAATTCAACCTGTTAAAATTTTATGTCTTATTTATATATTCACTATAAAAAGATAATTTAAGAAAACTTTGTATCACAACTCACTTGACCCGGGCAATCAAAAATGAGATAGTGATCCTTTAAATTCAAAACTTTTGTGATAAGCCACTGCACATTGATTTCTAAAAATTCCATGCAATGTACTAAAGCACCATTTGGCCCAAGTCCACAGTCCGTCATAACATCTTCGTGTTTAATTAATTCAGATATATCTATTGCCGGATTATATTCCATGTTTTCATTTGCTGGATCTAAAATGTAATAAACTGCTTGCTTAGATTTAATTAAATAAAAAAAACCAATTAGAATAATATTTACATACCAATGTTAATAACAGCTACTTTTCTTCCAAGGGACTCGAGAAATTTAGACATTGCATTACAATATGTTGTTTTTCCACTACCGGGTGGACCGATAACCAGCTGTCCAAAAATTAAGCTCATAGTGATGCGGTAAATATTATATTACCACGGTTTTATCTGATTTACAGCAGCAACAATAGATTTTAAAGTCTTCACGTTATAATCTTTCAAGGCTATCGATAGCAATAAAGGTTTCTCAATGTTAAGTTCTTGCGCTATATATCTGGCAGCTACATGAACGTCATTGTTGTCACTACCAAAGAGTGTCCTAAAAATTTTAATACAATTAAGTGTCATATATTATACTAATGCAGCTTTAAATTGCACAGTAATTATTTACCACTTACTTTATTGTGAATACATCACTTGCGTAACCATTCACAGAGGACTCACGATTTATCATCAATAAAGTGCCGAATTTTTGAAATGCGTTACAATCAACAGCGTCCGATTGCTACAAGAGAAAATATGCGATAATATTGTAAATAAATGTTTGTTCCAAAAAAACAAATACAAAGAGGTTACATCGTAATACCTATATGGTCTTAAAACGATATCAGTGTGATGGTCATTTGTAACAATACCGCAGGAATATTCAGTCATATTTTTTACACATGAATCGGCATGAATGTATAATAATAATAATAAGTAATAGTAGCTGAAACGTCAGTTCAGCTGCAACAGAAACAAACTTGTGGATACTCTTATCTGACTATAGACATGTTTGTCATCATCATCATTCAATAATTCGATGTCATCAACACGATGAGAGTAACATAATTGACATTTGATAAATAATTATATTAATAATAATAATTATATATATTATATATTGTATATTATATGTAATAATTATATATAATAATTATATACAATATTATATATTACGCAACCATTTGATTGGTTGAACAGGGTATTAAGTCAATCTCCAACTAGACTTAATCGGACTATGAATACGAGCCATTATATCTATAATAATATATTATATATGTATATTTTTTTATAATATACATGTATATATTTATATATAATTAAACGATTTATTATATTTGCCTACAAATAAATATAAAATATAAATATCTATAAAATAATAAATAGAAAAATGCAAAACAAAAAAATTGTAACCCAGATAGACATGCAGATATATATGTTGAACATATAGTATGCAAATATTTTTATGTATACTTTATGTAATGCAATTAGAACAGCATAAAATTACGAATTATTTTAAAAAATTTTAATCGTGCACATTATGATATCATATTCCCTTATAGAAATTTATGACTATAATAAGTCCAAATAATCATATTTTATTTCGAGCATATTACTGTATATCAATAATTTAAGTACTCGAATAAATAAGTGATTATTTTAGACTTACTACTGATAAATTTCTATAGTAATTAGTAATTATTATATATATTTTATTATATTTGTTTCACTTTGTTATAAACGCACAATTGCAATAATTATAAAAAGTGTTTCTAATATTAAATTATTACCCAGCAAACACCGATATATAATTGTTACATTGCTATAATAAAACGGAATATAACAGGTAATATAACGTGTACGTTACATGTAACATCTATGTTAGTTGTAATTTCCCACTCATAGATGTAACATTTTAATATAACATATATTACATTGTGTAGTTATATTGTAATTATATACCAAATAGCACATTGATGTATTTGATAAGTCAGTGCTATCTTGTGATATAATGACAATATAACTACAATGTAATATATGTAATATAAAAATGTTACATCTATGAGTGGGAAATTACAACTAACATATACGTTACATGTATAACATGCTTAAGTATATAACATTTATATACTGTGTTTGCTGAGTATATATGTCATATAATTGTAATCTTTTTTAGAAGCAATAATTGCAGCAAGTTATATATTTGACAAAATATTAATTTAACATTATTCTATTTTTATGTAGTTGTGAGTTCTATTTCTGACAAAATAAGCAGCATATTTTCACAGCATTAGAAGAATCCTTTAACTTAAATTGCTGATAATACTCATGTTATATGAGCAGGATGCATCTCTCAATGTTTATGCAACATGTTCAATTTTAATGTCATTATGCAAGCAATTCACTGAAATAAGTTTATCTGGGAATATTGAAATAAATGCTTTCGTTTAATCGCCAAAAAGAGAGAGAATGTCTCAATTAATATAAATACAGTATATACAACGCTAATTAATAATTAAAATAATTTATTCTCATTTTAAATAAAATGAGTTATTCATTCGAATTTTATTTATAATGAGAATTAATTATTTTATTCTCATTGTAAATAAGCGATCATAAATGACGCCATATATACGTCAAAAAGAACTTCAGGGTTACGTTCGGAAATCCGTCCGTCAAAGTCCAGAATTCGACCGACCAATCGGAAACGAGGATTTCTTCGTCCTAATGACACTAGCTAAACACATTTTCGAACACAATCTAGCGTTCCGTGCTGCTTTCTAGTGCGCTTTCGAGTCGTTCGCAATCAACAACGTACAAACGCGCGTGCATCGCCGGTCCGGTCCACGAAATACGTGAATATTCATATTCATTAGCCGGCCTCGTTAATTATTGATACAAATCTGTTCGAGTCACGCGTACCGACATCGCGATCGCGATCGTGCGGATGAGATCGATATCTCGTTGGCCGCGAGTCTCGCGTAATCTCCCGCGCGTTCGTGCACCTCCGAGAGACCGCGTAACGTCACAGCTCCGGCTCGCTCCCGCCAAAAGTTCGCGCGCGCGAATTCACGAAGCCGGGTCGCGGGATGATCGCCGCGCTTTCGACGCGAAAATTTTCCGAGTTTTTTCCGCATCGTCGATCGCATCTCAAGCGGGCGATTGCACGTCTCCGTTCGTACTTCCGCATCGTCGTGTCGAAGTATCGTTCCGCGGACGAATTAGGCTCGTAATTTGCGCGAGAATCACAGGTCGAGTACGACAAAGATCGCGCCGCCATTGTTATATTTTTTATATCGTGGCCAATTTTCTGGAATATCGGCGAAGAATAGTCCAAGTGTAAGTCAAATTAATTATTTCATTATTTATTTTACGAAACGTGTCGAAAATGTGATGGCTCAAACCCGGGCGTTGCGAGAGAAAAAAAATTTACGCGAGTGCAAAGTATTTCGAAGTGCTTCTACGAGACAGTTCCCGGAGGTTGGTTTTCTACAGGAAAAATCGTGCCGTCGAAACCGAAGAAGAATAGTCGAAATGTGAGTCGAATTATTTATTATTTATTTTGATAAAGCAATGGAAAAATATATGCGCCTGAATTTTGCGAAAACTTTACAATATTATGTTACTTTTAAGTAAGAAAATATATAATATATATAATAACAAAAAATAGGGGCAAAAATGCGAGCAGTTATCTTCGACAAATGTTTTAATTAAACAATAATTCAATACCTTTTTTCGTATCTTCAGTAATTGTAAAAAAATTACAAAATCATAGATAAGCATGGATATGATTATACAAGCTGAAATTTAATAAAAATTGATACGTAGAATTAAAACTCGTTTTTACTTCGATCTCTAAAAAATATAAAATTCTTACAAAAATAAAACGATTCCTATCGTCGGTTTCAATCGTCTGCAAGAGAAAAAAAATAAAAATTTAATTTTTACCTCCCTCTTTAGAAAAGTGTAACATTCCAAGGAGGAATATAAGAATATATTTTTATATAAGAAATCTTCCTTAATTTTCGACAAAGAATCATCTTCTAAAATTTTTCGTGCTTATTTAAGTACACCATGTATAAAATGTTTACCATATATAGCTTCCTTAAACTCACACTTGTTTACATTATTTCCCACCTATCTGCTTGGCAGTTATCTATCTGTTTTTCTTTATATAACATTTATATTCTCATATTAATAATGAATATTCAGATTTCTGACGGTTCCCTTCTCGGATATTTTGTGCTCTTTCCGTTTTCATATTTTGTCTTGGGTAAATCTTCTCTCTTACACTGTTGGTTTTATTATTTTAACGAACTATATTAATTTCTTAGCTTATCATGTGAAGTTCTTTTGTAAATCTTTAATTGACATTTTGTAGAAACACGTTAATTTTTATAGAAGTCGATCGTATTTTTTTGAAGATCAAGCACAGGATTTTTAATTTCACGTACGTATTCTTATTTATATTTTATCCTTATCATTATCTATTCTTATATATGACACATTTATATAGTCTGAAAAAGGATCATGTTTAATTAAAGAATATTCACTGTTTTTGCCATGTTTTCTGCGCTTTTGCTTTCATTAAAGCATCCGTTATCATACTTTTTTTTTATATCGGTTATTACAATCTTTCTATTTGGATTTCTTAAACATATTTATTCTTATATAAAAAAAAGCTATAGCATAAAGAGAGGAACGTCGGTTGAGTAAATCGTTTGCTCTATAAAATAAATAATTTGATTAAGAAGGTTTAACAGACGAAGTAATTCTAAAAGTGAAGTAAAAAATAAATATATTAAGAGACAAGTGCAATTACATGAAATTACAGCAAAATTTATTTTTATAATCCTTTTTCTCAACACTAACAATAAGTTAATATATCCAAATAATTTATTTTTCATAATTTATGTTTATTTTTTCAATAATTTATCTTTCTTATATATTTTTTATATATACACATATTTTGCTAATAGTAATAATAATAATTTGCTAAGCTCTATTTAAATTTCAATTAATTTAATAATTAATTTTTTTGACAACTTTGATTGTTCGTAATTCTTTTTTGATAAAATTACAATAAAAAAAAATTTTTAATTGTCCTTGTTATCAGCTTGTACATATTGGCACTATATATAATATATTTACCATTATATATAAAAATATGTTGTTTCTTTTATAGATACCAAAAAATAAAATTATTTTACTTTTAGCCTTCGTAAAGCTAGCGAAATGGATCATGTAATAATACAAAGAAAGAAACAAACACTTTCGACCTGTCGAGCTGTCGAGATGACATACTAAAAAGGCGAATATGATAGAATCAATATTTTTGTGAAGAAATGCGATAGCATTACTATTAGTGATACCGAAGAACGTAGACTTATCTATTAAAGTCTCTGAGAAAATTATTAAGAATTTTTATCACCAAATTTTTTATATATTAACAACGTAAAACTGTCACACAAATTAGAAAAAAGGATATTATTTTTGTTCGGCAAAAACTGACAAAAAATCTCATCTTCAACTCTAATATAACAAATGAAAAATTATGTAATTTTTTATATAAGTAAATTATTTTCTTTTGTATATCACTTGCGATCGATAGCATAGATTGATGAGATATATAAAAAATTTTCTCGTTGGTTCGTAAATTAATGAATCCTCAAATTTCGATGGGTTATACATACCTATATCATAACGATTTATCATAAGACATGCTCAAAATGGATATAATTGTATGCGCATCAGGATGTGCATTTAACGCAAGATAATAAAAAAAGGAATTTCTTGATATATTTTAACGATTCGACCAAACTCAAATTATGAAAAAATTAATTTTTAATATTTATAGACACATTACGCAAAAAACTCATTTTTTATTTCTGTCATTATAATTTAGTATAGCTAGTCGAAAAAAAAGAAATTTTATAACAGGTATAACAATCTTTTAAAAATCTTAAATTTTAGATGTATGAATTTTTTAAATACTTTAAAAATATGATCAAAAAATCCGTTCTGATAAAAAGAATCATATAAGAAGAAAAAGACGAATTTTTTCACTTCCTGTTCCGTGAACATTGGTTTAATATTCGCAACAATTTTTTTTAAAGAGGTTTAATAACAAATACATGTTTACAACATATAAATATATAATATAAATGCGATTTGTAAAGGAAGAGTCAAGTGAATATAAAAACAACGTGACTTCAAGTAGAGATTTTATTGAAATATAAGGAATCTGTACCAGACAGAACTAAAATTACTGTTGAATTTGGATCTACCGGGGTTCACGTATCGTATATGCCTGCGTAATCGCTGCTTTATCGTATAATTGTAGTCGGAATATTTATATAAGTACAGAAACAATATCGAAGGTACGCGCACAGTCTATCTTGAACTTTCTAAAGCTAAGAAAAGGATTTTTTTCTCTCTATAGAGACCTATAGTTGCAATCTTACGTTTACAACTAGAGGAGAAGGGAGGGAGAGAGAAGGGGGATTTCTCTCTTTTTCATTTCTATGTACAATTGATAATTCAAAGTTTTTTTTTATATAAGCCATTCTCATGACTTCGCTTGCCATGGCGAAGACGCGTACAGTTGTGTTCGTCCAATTATTTACATTTTTTACAAGAAACACTCTCTCAATATACAGTGATACGTTACAACAATTTCAATGTATATTTGAATTCTTCTGCATTGATAGTTGCAACGAATGTGTCAATCTAATATCTTACGCGAATGGCCCCGTTTAAAAAAATATATAAAAAAAACAAATCTTTTTTGTCTTGACTATACGAATTTTCCAAGAAGTCGTCAAAATTTTTTAAAAATTTCTATAAAATCTCATCGGATCTCTAAATATACAATTTTTTATTGACATGAAAAGTTATCTATCCGTGGCGATTGTGCTAAAACGCAAGAAATAACACATTAATGCTGAATGTCGAACTCACTTTCCAATGTGTGCGGGACATCGTTGCACATACACATAATCTAATTATACAACTATATTATATATAAGAATGTAGAAACCTAAAAATCTTCGTGTTAGTTATAATAAATAAGCAACGTATACGTAAATTTAATAAGAGTGTGTATGTGTATGTGTCTGTATTTATGTCTGTGTTTGTAGTATGAATGTATGGGACTGCGTGTGTGTGTCTATTAAATATATATTAAATTATTTGCATGTATTTAATATATATTTAATATTTATACAGAAATATATTTAACTTAATGTAAAAGGGGTCTTTCGCACTGTCTTTTTCTAAATCCACCACATCGCGCTTTACAGATGCTATACAGATGCCTGTTACGCGAGATAGAAAATTTTTCTGCAGAAATGTTTAGGATGTTTTTCGACATTTTCGATTTTACTATATCGGTAAAAGATACACAAATTATTATAAAAAATGAATTATCAATTTATTCGTATTTCAATTTATTCTGTATTTTCTTTCATTATTCCTCAAGCATATTTCTCGATCTCGTTTGATTCAAAGTTAGTAATTGATCAGAATTCTTTAGTTGTTTCTCATGTGACTTTTATGTAAAACAGTGCCTCAATATAAAAAAAAAAAATTCAAACGCGATCAGAAATCATGAGAAAAATCTATTGGCAATTGATGAGGAAAATAATGCAAGAAAGTAAGAATAAGAGAAATAAGAGAAAAATCATGATATTCTATGTCCTAAATAAAATCAGTTTTTTTTTTCAATTCGTGTCAAAGAAAGAAAAAAGATTTAACGTTGTGTCGAAACATCACATCATCGCATAAATCATTTTGATCATAATTTTAAATGACGCTAGCATCTTCCATCCTCCCATAAATTTGGAAATAAAATGTTTCTCTTCATTCTTATGCGATTAAAATTCTCCCATGTGATAGAAAAAAGAATGGCAAATAAGATAAATAGTGTTAACGAGAAAGATTAATTTCAGATAATTTTGATATAAAGACAAATATTGACTGTATATATTAAACTTGAATAGAACTGAATTTGGGATCGCAAAACTCTTTTTCAAATCTTGAAAAAAATCCTTTTTACGGTGTCCGATGATCGAAATGTATATAGTATGGTTTCACTAAGAGATAGGAAATGATCTTACACTGTCGATATACGGGCGATATTTTGCACGAATAAAATATTTAATTACACGTAAAGGATATCGAAAGCGCAATATCCTTTTATGTATTAAATATGACATTTCGCGATCATTTGCAATTCTTAGTGAAATTTTTACGCTCGCATACGTATACACTTGAAATCGAAATTTATATCTTTCTTTCGCGACATTCTGACGTTTGCCGACGCATTAGCAAAGAATGAAAAATACATAACGGGATAAATGGGATATATATACAAGAGTTCAAAACTATCTCTTTTTTGTTCGAAATAATATAACTCGGAACGCCTCTCTCCCTTGGAATCGCTCTTCCGCGAAATATATTTTTTGATATTCTAAAAACGAATTAGAAAAATATTTTTTCTATCTTGTATATAAATACATATATGTATCCCGTAGTAAAAACAAAGGTTTTATTATAATAGTTTTATCTATACCATTTTCTCTCAGCAAAGTTCCAAGAGAAGCAAATAATGAATAAAACAACTAGAAGACGTAGCATCCGTTAATGTTATCTAGATCTTCAGCGTGTATGTGGTTAAAATCTACCAAGCGTTTTGAAATATACAAGTGTACGTATTGTAATAATAGGTATGATGATTTGCTCGTCAGACCGTTATCATTACAACATTCTTTATACAATAAATTTACACAGACTCGCAAATCTGAGTAAAGCATCGTTTGTGACTATTTAATTTTCAATTTGGTAGGAAAAAGTTCTCTAATACTGATCAATTTCTAATTTCACTATTTAATCGAATTTCTTGGAATCTCAATGCGTACGGATTGTATAGATCTTTGCGCGCTGCCCGACTATCGTCGCGATATCTTTCTTCTTTTTCTGCGATACCATGATATATCGTCATCTGTCAATTATTAGAAAAGTTTAAATTTGCTCGGTACTATGATTACATCCTGGGCTTAACATGTGTGTGAAAATAATTTATATTTATTTACAATAATTCAATACACAATTCGGAGTGGATGTCCCCGACGCAGGGCTATTGATAGATATCGTTCTCGAAAGTTCAAAGAGTCTCTTTGGGATCTCTCTCCCGAAAGAAGCCCTTTTCAGTCTTGCACTCCCTGATGGTAACCGTTTTCAGATTAACAGTAACGTCCGTGATGAACACTTGATCCGCCACTGGGTTTCTCGCGTGCCAATAATCGGTGCTCGGGCTCGTGAGCGGGGCGTAGATCTCCGACTTCGGGATTTCGGTCTGCTTGACGCTCGAAGTGTTGTTATTATTGTTGTTATTATTATTGTTGTTAATATTATTATTATGACTGTGATGGCCGTTCACGACTGTCGGTAACCTATTGTTGTTGGTGTAAGAATCTGTGGGACTCGGTGATTTATGACCGTTCGCTTTTTCGCCGGTGACCGCCCCGTTCGATTTGTCCTGCTTCTGCTCCGACAAATGCCTCTTCTTCGTCGAGGGCTGTTCCAGAGGTGTGTCTATCTGGGGGGACAGCGGCGCCGGCGGTGCACGTGGAAGAGAGGGCGGTGGCCCGTGAGGTACGTCGGCTTCGGGACGCTTCTTGTCCTGGACTGCCGGTGCCGGCGTCGTCGGCACCGCCGGAAGTGGCTCCTCCGGTGTCGACTTTACGCTGGAGGACGACGGCCTCCTGCCGTTGACTTTGTGACTCTGTAATTAAAGAACGATCCTGTTTTTATAGCTGAATATATGTAGTCATCAGTGAGACATTTCTTCTCTTTATTCTTCCACATTGAAACAAATTTATTGAATTCGAATAAATATTTATTTCAATACGGCCTAATAAACAGTGTTGTGCTTAGACGATTTTGAAAATTATCTGAAGGTGATTTTGAATTAACCTTGGTGCAACTTAAGTCCATGTTAACTTAATTCGAAGGATTCGAATGTCCTTACATTATCCTATAACTTATTAGGAAATTACACTTTCGCGTTTCTGAAACTTACGTGATAAGAGGGCGTTGTAGGATTGTTCTTCAAAGGCAATAACCGAGGAACTTTGCTCGGTGGCGGGCTACCACTACCGCTATTGGGATTGCTCGTGGTAATTGTCACGCCGATCTTGCCGGACTCCTTGCTGAGAACCTCCGCCTTTCTCTTTGTACCCAGCTCTTTCCTGGGCAACAGAGGTATGTCTACGCTGCTGTTGGAACTGTCGGAATCGATGAATGTCGACGCCAATTCTGGCGGTGTCGGGGACTCGTGGCCGTCCAAGGAACTCGGGAGTGTGTCCTCGTCAGGGGCTACTGAGTTCAATCGAGGCGCCGAGGTGCTGCCTGTCGTCGATTCGTCCTGACTGTCCTCGCCTACTCTTTCATCTCCACCGGGTTCTTCCTCGACTACTAAATTGGCCAGCACCTGTTCCTGAAGATAAACATTATTGTAGATTAACAGTGTTTGCTATTATCTGAATAAAATTATATGGATAATCATCTAGACACAATTTTAGCGTCATCTTATTTTTATATAGATTTATAGATGATCAAAATATGTATCGTCTATATCTCCATTTTAGATGAAAAAAAGTGTCATCTTCACTAAATTATCTAGAATAATGTTCAGATAATTTGGTTTAGTCATAGCACATAAAAATACTTAATTAGTAGAATTTAGCAGTAAACGATAAAAACTTATAAAATTATAAATATATTTTTAAATAAAGTAGAACGTACATAAACAGGCCAACTTAAAAACGAGCAAATTATTTAGGTGTACACCTAAATAATTTGCTCGTTTTCAAGTTGGCCTGTTTATGTACGTTCTACTTTATTTAATTTTATACAACAAGCCGTAGTTTTTCATTTACTAATTTTTATTTATTAATATATTTTTATATCTCTTTTATAATTAATATATTTTTTAAATAACTATGTTTACATAAACGGTCTTAAAAATGATATTATCTGGAAGTGATCTAGATGAATATTAATATATAATTTTATCTTTTACATCTAGATATATTTGAAACAAAATCATCTTCATATATCATATTTAAGATGAATTTACATATTTTCATCTCATCTTTAGCTAATTTTAAAATCATCTAAGCACAACACTGTAGATTAGATCGTCTACAAGAAAAGCACCAGAAGGTCTCTAATCCAATTTTATGATTCTATTAATTCTCCATTTCAAACTATTTCGGCGAAATAAAAAGATTTTATGACTAGCTATATCCGCTTAACGAGGAACGTCATAATGTTTGCTGAGATATTAAGCTAGTAAAATAATTCGGTATAAAGATGATCTTTTAATGTAACTTCATAATGAAGAGATATAGTCGACATTTTACGAATTTGGCATATTTGACAAGTATATGTGTAAATACATCTCTCTTGTATTTTTACCATTTATATTCATAATGTTTTTAACTTATACGTATATATGTATATATCAAATATATTATCTATCAAATTATTATTTAAAAATAAGACATTTTGCAAATGTATTTGAGAAATATTTCATGAGAATTTTTTTAGAAAGTACAAATATAAATATATGTACACATACATATATATTTTGAAGAAATTAATGGCAAGTGTGAATATGTATATTATATTTATATATTCATCTACCACTTGCCATCAATTTCTTCTCAAATTTTTAATTTTTTAAAGAATTAAATTTAAACGCGACGAAAATAAAGAAAGATAAAATAAAATTTCTATACAACGTTAAACTATGTATATGATAAAATCAATAATATTGATAAAATTAACTTAATCGAAATTGGTTTAACTTTCTTCTTAGCACAATTTCATTAAACTTGATTTCGTAATTTGTCGATAAATAATTGATAAAGACATCGCACCAAAGTATATAAATATATATGTATATCGTTCGCTCTCACGTTATATCTGGTATCCCTTCGCCTTGGTCTTCTGGTGGATACATCTCCGCCTTTCTGACTCTCTTCATACAGCTCGATTAATCTGACGTCCAAAATATTTTCTTCCGGCTCCCATGTGTTATATCTGAAATAAAACGAGAAAAGTTACAAATGCGCAATCACGGAGTTTTACATGTCGAATAATTTCTGACAAAGATTTTATACTCACTTCTTGCTCCATCCTTTCCATTTGACAAAATATTCGATCTTGCCCTGCAAAAAAAACAAAACGTAAGATAAATATTACTAATATAGGTACTAATATAATTAAACGGCGAATATAGGGAAAAAATTATTGCATATAATTTATATGCTTTTTCGCAGTTATTCGAAATACATATTTTTTATATAATACATTATATATGACATAATATCACGCATGACATGAATATCTATCACGTCACATTCAACGATACAAGTTAATTGATATATATATACATATATATATATACTTAATTGGCGTTCAATATTTATATAGCGATATTATTCGGTAACGTATTAACGTTACTGAATAATTACTACTTTATTATGCCTTACAGAAAAAAATGGTACAGGACTTTTCGGCTCAGTTTTTCACGAGGAATATCGCTATATAATTAGTTTTTTCTGTAAGGCATAATAAAGTAGTAATTATTCAGTAACGTATTAACTTACAGAAAAAATGGTACAGAACTTTTCGACTCAGTTTTCCATGAAGAATATCGTTATATGAATATTGGGCGCCAATTAAGTGACACTCTGTATATATATATTGTGCCTAACGAGGATGGAAGATTGTTGTACATTTTTAACGAGAAAAAAATATTTCAAATTGTGCGAAAGATGTGTTTCTAAATGCAGCATTATATATATTTAAGCATTACTCTTCCAATTAAGTCATCGGCAACGCGTATAATCGCGTATTAATCACTTTTACTTCTATAATTAATTTCCATCGTTATCCCGCGCGTATCAGCCACGTCAGAGGTGGATCCACATGTTGCGCACGTTTACGAGCGGATCGTTTGCCGATAAGATCCGCTCCAATCGGGAAAGGCCGATTCGCTTATCAGAACGCGGTATAATTATAGCTATCGCGGGGCGATAATTAATTGCGACGCGAGAGGCGCGCCGTTACATCGATCGTCCCGCGCTGCGATTTTTCAACGATAAAAAAAAGTCCCGGCGACCGGATAAAACCAGGTGATCGGTGAAAGCCGGTTGGCGCCATTCGCTGTCAGTCAGCGGTAACAGTTTTACGTTGTAAAACCGGGTCGATCGCGCGCGGAGATAAACAGACAGATAGAATGCGTTTGTTTATATTCCAGGGATTGATGGATCTCACGAGAACGTGGAGTAAAAGGCGAGTGGACGGTACATATTGTATAAGCAATAAGTATTGATAACAAAGAGAAGTGATAAAAGAATCGGATCTTGATTTTTTATTAATTTACAATTTTTTTTTCGAATTAATCTTTATTTAATTTAGCCAAATTCGTTTTTTTCTTTTTATGTGATTCTTAATCAATGGGCGTCGAATTACTAGTTATTTATATATTGAAACTATTTTTTATAAGTTGCGATAATCGAAATAAATGTTTTATATACAGGGTGTTTAGAAATTGGAAATCAATCGGGAGGTAATTGGCAACCCAAAAATTAGAAAAATGGCATAAACATAGGTTATAAAATGCATTTATTTGAGAATAAAATTTTAAATTTTACTTTCGAGATTTTTTCGAAATTGAAAAAAGATGGTTTTTACAAGTTTTGTAACATAATTAACATAATAAAGTCAATAATCAAACAAATCAAAAGATAAGTTGCATCTCCACGTGGTGCATCCTAAGTAGCAACTAAAAGTTATTATCTTTATTATATATGTTAATATATTACAAAACATATAAAAATCTTGTCTTCTTTCCTAAATTTTAAATTTTAACAAAAATCTTGAAAATAAATTCAAATTTCAAATCAATTTCAAATTTCAACATATAAATGAAGTTATCCCGAAATCAATGACTAAACTTTTCAACTAAATTATTGTACTATTTTATTAATTTTTTCTTATTTTTGGGTTTCTAATCATTTTCAATCTCCATTTTTAAATACTCTAGTTCGCGTTCCAAAATTAATTTTGTGAAGTAGATTAGTTTTTGATTGACTAATTAGGTCACAAAAGAGACACAAATTTCTTTGTTCTGATTAGTCCGTCAAAAGCTACCCTAAGGAGTAAATTTTAGAACCCTGTATGAATAAATATTTATGTTTTTACTTCAAAAGTATTTTGCTCTTTCTCAATCATTGTACAGGTAATACTTTTTGAAAAAAATATCAGGACTACAATCAGTATATAATTAAAAGCAAATTAGGCGTGTCAAATCTCTCTTTCTCCTTTTCTTGCAACTTATTCAAATTACACAGATGTCTCGATATTCCCGTACTTTGAAATAATAAAATAAATATTTGTTTCTTTACTCCAAAAATATTTTACTTTATCTCAGTATCATTGTACAGGTAATAATACCTTTTGAAAAAAAAGGACTTGAAAATAAAAATCCTATAACCAAAAGAATATAATTAAAAATATAAATATAAATCAGGACTACAATCAGCATGCATATAATTAAAAGCAGTATGCATATAATTAGGCGCATCGAATCTCTCTTTCTCTCCCTTCTTGCTCGTTCAAGTTACATACAGATGTCTCGATATTTCCGTATTTTGAAAACCGATTGGATACGCGAGAAAGAGAGGAATCGCGTGAATTTTCGAATCCATCTCGCGACACGCACGGTCGATAGTCGAGTCGGCTATGCCGACGTTCACGGGTAGCGGTTCACCCATTGGCCTACGGCCAACGACAGAAACGGCACGCCGGCCCATCGCGATGCGCAGGCACCGCGTGACAGTTGGAAAACAATGACACACGCGCTCGCGCGGGAGAAAGAGAGAGATACAACGTCGCGAAACGACAGAATGAAGCATCCACGAGTCCGATCGACAATGTGATAACGCGGAGCAGGTTGTCAGCCTCTCGCGAACCGATATTATTACATGTCGATACCGGTGCGACAATCACGTCGTCGATGTTCGCGAGAGTGAAATGCTCCGCGACGCTTTACACGAGTTATTTAGCAAGTTTATCCGATACAATATGAATGATGGAAACGATTGTGCGAATTGATGAGGTTCGTGTTCCTCTAAAAACCCGGAAGGCTTCGCGAATGTTGAATGAAAGTGGTAGAATTGCTTCGAATAATTGTTAACTTTCTCGTATTTGAATATATAAGTTCGGATTGTTCCTTTACTTTGGTGCAATTATGCTGCACAATTTTGTAACATTTTAGGACACTTTGATGTTATACCTACATATATACGACTCTTTCTCGAGTTAAAGTAAAATCATTATCTTTTGTCATTTTATGCGCATTATTCTTCATATCTCTCTCTAAACTCATTAAATAAATTATGCTTAATTGTATGCAGCCGATTAAAATTATCACGATGTAATTTATGAAATTATATTATTATGAATTCACTTTTTATTTTTCCGAGTAAAATAAAAAAATGTAAGACATATAGAATACTCTAAAAACCTAAGAAAACCCTTTCAACGTCATATATTCTGTATTCTCCCTATAAAGACAAATTCTTTTCAAATTAGAGACTCTGCTATTAAAAAAATATCCGATGGATTCGAAACTTCAGATATATAGTTTGTATGAAATTTCATGGGTCGAGAAGAGCTTTGAGAATTATTTTTGCGAATTGTTTCGAAATTGTATAACGAGTTCCGTAAAGAAATACGCCACCAGTTGCTACCAGCTGATCGCCATACGGAGCCTTTCTCCTATCCGTCAGCGAGTTTACCATTGTCTGCCTCTGGGAACTCCCGTTAACCAGAAGAAGTATACATATAGTCGGCTTCAGAATGGTTGAGATTACTTTTTCTTTAGTAGCACACAATATCTACAAATTTACTCTTGCATATGAATCAGAAATAATCAATAATAATCATTAATTGTCTTATAAATGCAATGATGTATTTTATAAATAAGCCTATATTCGTTATATATAAAAAACAAAATTATCATTCATTAATATTTTAATTATTATCAATCTGTTGGTATCTATACAAGAGTACATTTATAGAGATCGAAAGAAAATATATCAAGTATAAACGTATCGAATAACCATTTTTTTCTATACATCGCGCACGTGAATATCTACAAATTGTTAAAGAATTGATTTAGCAGAGATAATTTTTTGTGAATATAGGATCAACCTTACGCGATTGTTGTATGTATGTGTTTATATAAATAAAACGCAAAAAGCTTCTTTCTGTTTTAAGTTAATAAACATTTATTTCTAATCGTCAATATATAAAATAAAAATTATCCTTCTTCATAGTTACCAGCTTTATGGTAAAACTAAGATATGAATTACATCAAAGACAAATTTTTCATTATAAAATTTAGGAAAAAATAAATACCTATATAAAAATTGATTTAAATCACAAAATCTTATTATCATTTTTATTATATTGGATCTTTTTTTACTTTATTTTTTTTTTATTTACTTTACACGTTCATCTCTTTTAAGTATAAATTTAAATTTAGATAAATTTTTGTTCTTACTTTGTTTTAGTGTATTTTTAAATATGTATTTGCAACAAGAAATATTTTTTAATCTTTATCATTATATACTTGCATTATAGATACATTTTATATTTAATTTGATGTATTTTATAAATTTATATTAGAATTAAGTGTAGTTAAATATTGTACAGTGTATATTTTTTCCTCTTTTTTTGTCCCTTTCTATTTTTTTCTGTATCGAGAGAAAACATGCTGCGCAGGATTGCGCCATATCAAGGACCGACAATGATTAGATATGCTGTTCTATACATGTACGCATGCATTTTTGTGTGTTCTAGAAAAAGAGAGAGAGAGAGTAATGTTTTGCTATTTTTTTAAATTTATGATTTGTATAAATTGTAAAATATTATATCGTTGAAAACAATAGAAACATTATGATTAAAATTGCTATAAAAAATATGATTGCTACGCCTAAATAAGAATCGATCTCGAGAAAATTTATACTTTTTGTTCTTTCTCTTTTTCAACCAATACACGATCCTTATCACTTTTATTTCTCGTGACTGATACCGGTTGCGTATCGTAATGACGTCAAAATAGGAGGACACAGAGGATCGATTCCGCGCTTATACGCGGTTCCACAATGAATCGATAAACTTGCCGATGGAAAAGCTAGAATAATTCGATGCGTTCAAAAAAAAACTGCGCTCTTCTCTACATTCAATATAAAAAAAAAAAAAAAAAAAAAAAAAAAAAAAAAAAATTACAGAGAGAAAACAAACCCGTATCCACCGTAGCGTACTTAATGAGTCTGACGTCGCGAAACGCGGCACGCTTCGTATCGTGGAAACGGCAGCCAAGAAGGAGCTGTCAGAGAGAGAAGAGGAGACAAAGAGGAAGAGAAAAAGACAGGACATACGGAGGGAGAATAGACAGAGAGGCGGGGAAACGTGTGGACAGATTCCGGCTGGTGGTGCCGTCTGGTGGCGAATAGTCGCAAACTAGCGAATACTAACCCGCTTTTCCCTCTTCTTCGTGATCCGTTCCGCGGCGTAGACTCTGTCGCCCAGTTCCATGGCCGTCGTGTGAATCCTTAATCCTTTCGATCTGACTCCGGACGAGCGCAGGGATGTCCTCCGATCGGATGTCCGTGGCCGCGTCGTGTCGCGCGTGATATCCTACGAAACACCATATGTAACGATGATGAACACCGGGTACGACAGAGTCGAACACACACATAGACACATAGACACACACAGGCATTCCCCGGAAGTCGAGAAAAACAGGGAGAAAGAGAGAGAAATACATTTATATATATCACAATGTAATAATATCGCAAAAAGCTGATCGATTTTCTGTACTTCCAGGTCACGAGGTGGATACCGGCGTGCGCCGTGAGCGGAGACACGTGCGCGATTAACCACGTGGGTGCGAGTTCGTATCTAGGGACTTCGGAGTCGCAGACCGATCGAATCAGTCGATTGTGTCATCCTCCCGCCCGCACGCTGTCATCAACTGTCAAACCGCGACGCGTTCTGTCATCCGCGAAAAGAGAAGAGGACGTAAGTAGTAAGTAATAACGACAGAAAGGAAGATGAAGGGCGGAAGAGTAAGGAACTGATGTTTTTCGAAAGGCCAGTAGCCGCATCGAGAACCCGGTGGTGAGTAAAGAATCATTTCTCATAAAAAAAAAAAAAAAGGAAAAAAAAAGGAATATAACGGATGACGTTTTCGACACGGTTAAAACTCCGTGTCTTTTCCCTCCAAGATTCCCTCGGGTTTTCGTTTTTCCCCCCTTGTTTCTCGGATAACTACCGGCGTGACAACGACGACACGACGTCGACGAAGCGCACGCTTCCTCCCGTATCCGTTCGTGCTGCTGTTGGTGCTGCTGCCGTTCGGGCGAGATCGGCCCGTTGGCCGCGTGACGTCAGCGATTCCCCCTCACGTCATAAACACCAAACATGGCCGTCGTACCGATATACGCTTGTCGAGTGCGTCCCAAGCTGAGGGCGTAAAACCGCCGTAATACGGACTGTCGCGGCTCGCAGATGCAGACAGGTAACGCGCGACGAGGCTCGCGAGCCCCGCGACTTAACCACGTAGGCCCCGGGTGGCGAATATTCGTGAACCGGAGCGATCGACTGGCGGCGTCTGACGCACTCCGCGGATCGAGGCCGACTAGAGCCGAGGTCTACCGAACTCCCCTTCGCAAGTCCTAGTGGACTCGCCCGAGAGCCCGCTCGAGGTTAGGGGGTGGGGAGGGGTTGGAGGGGCAGAGAAAGAGCGCGGCAGGGGAAGGGAGAGGCTCTCAACGGTACGTGCGGCGTGAAAGAAAGGGAGAGAGAGAAAGAGAGCGAAAGAGAGAGAGAGAGAGTGCGATTGAGTTAACCGAACGAACACGAGGGGGAGAGGAAGAGCAAGCGCAATGGAGGTAGAAAAGAGAGACGGCGCGACTAGGAGTGCCGTCCTCGGAACAAGAAAGCCGTCTGCCTGGCCTGCTTGTTTGCCTGCCTGCCCTGTTTGCTTGCCTGCTAGCCTGCCTGTCAGCCAGCCAGCCAGCCAACCAGCCAGCCACCCCAAGTTCCCTTCTAGGTACGTGTACGACGATGCATGCGTGTTTGTGTGCGCGAAGACAAGTCGATGCGCGACGTTGCCAGGTCATCTGGTTTCGTCGATAGCACCGCAAATGTCACACTGGTGCTGCCGTAGCTCCACCAGCGACGAAACCACGCTCGCGTAAATTCGTTCGGCAAGGGTTAGAACGATCAGATCCAACAAGACTCTCGCGATTTTCACGACCTCGCCGACTCCGAGTCGAGATCGATCGACGATGACGCTCTAGCTCGCTCGCTCTCTCTTTCTTTCTTTCCGTGTCGGAGCGCGCGTTCACTCCTCACTTCTCTCTTCCTCGGGCGGCCTCAACCAGTCGGTATATACGCGTATATTCGCGCCTACGACATCCGGCAACGTCGCATCCTCCTGCGACGTTCTGTCACACACACATACACTGTTCTCGAATCGCGCATACACCAACATATACACTTACACCATGTACACACGTATACTAGATGGGTAGTAGCAGGCTGTATCCTACCTGCGAAGAGCGAAGCTTCACTGATCTTGAAAAACAAGTGTCGTCACGTCAGGGTAACGCGTAACAAGCCGGACACACTATATATACACACACACACGCGCACAGTTACGGGGGCCACTTCCTCGGCCTGTCGCTCGTAGAAACGCGTGTTACCTCGACGGATCCCGAAACGAGAGTGTTCTCTCCTGCGCCGACGAACAGACGGGGTAGAGAGCGCTGAAGAAGGACGGGACGAGGTGTCGCCCGTGCGCGAACGAGACGCGATGAGACTGGGGGGAGGGGGGGGGGGACGAAGGGGAGGAAACCGTCTTCTCCTCGTCCTCGGGTGTAAATAGCGGGATAAAAAACCCGGGCGAACGGGGACGCCCGATTGGCGGAGCCGTCGAGGCGCCACCGTTGGTCCCGAACCCCATTCGTCGGGACGGCCAATCGCAACCTGGCACTGCCCACGTCGGCTTCCCCTCGACGTGTCGGGGAGGCGGGCATTAACCGGCGAACCCATCGGCCACGCTCGGCTTCTCCAACCCTTCCCCCCACTCTGCCCCCTCCCTGCCCCTTTTACCCCTCAAATCCTCCGGCTCTCTGTGTAAAGTCTCTCCGGTTTTCTCTCTCTCTCTCTCTCTCTTGGTCGAGAGAATCTGCCCCCTACTCTTATATACCAGAAGAGAGACGGAGACAGAACTCTGCCCCCTTTTGCCCCTCTTTGCCCCCTTCCCTGGTGCGAACACCCGAATAGCGGAGTGCGCTACCGTGGCTCTCTCTCTCTCTTCTTCTCGTCGCCGAACGACCGTGTAAAGCCGTATGATGCGAAGGGCGGGCACATAGACGAGGGACGCGAAGGGGGGCAAGTTGTATATAGAGTTCCCGCTTAGAACGTGTTGGAACGTTCGCGAGCGCGCACTCATATACGCACACATGGTCGTCCCCCCTTCTCCCTCCTCCTTTCCCTGTGCGCTGTCGGTGGCCGACCACCGTATTGAAATATCCTGGCCCTGGAGTGCCAAGTAGCCGTGCGGCGATGCCGCTTCTTCCTATAACCATTACTGCGCGCGTGATTCTCTCGCTCCATGTCATCTCTCTCTCTCTCTCTCTCTCTCTCTCCTTTTCTCGTTCTCTTTGTGTTCATACTTTGCCGTGCACTCTCCCCTCTGCATTTGCGTATCATCATCTCTCCCTCGTTCTCGAGCTTCATAATAGCGACTCCGTACCCTCTTTTAGGAGGGATCCTGTGTTTTTCTCCCTCCCCCGAGTCTCTCCCCCCCTCCCCGCCCCGGGTACCCACGACGACGACGAGGCTCGCCTCCCTTCGGAGCGCAATCAATCGTATCGCGTACGAAAGTGCTCTCTCTGCGCAACCCCGCGAGCGATGCGCGCGAGTTCGGATAAACGCGGGCAGGGGGAGGGAGAGAGACGCGTTTATTATAGGCACTTTCGAGTGCTCCCCCTCCCTCCCTCCCCCCCGTCGTGCCCCGCCGACGTCACGTCACACGGCGGCATCGAATTGCGCAACTCTTAAGATACACTCGGGAGTTGGTGTAGTCCACGTAGATGGCGCGTATCATGGGTACGCGCCATCGTCTCCCCTCCCCCCCCCCCCGTGTCTCTCTTTGTTCTTTCTCGACGAAGGTTGACACCCGACGTCGTCTTCGTGGTATTTGTCGCGGTTTTTTGCCCTTTTAGTCTCGCGATCCTGTTACATCTGTCGCGATTAGAGGCGTAAAAAAAAAAGAGGATCGAGTTTTGTACGGAACTGAGATCGCGTGGTCAAATGTGGAAGAAGATATGAAGGGTATAAACTAGGATATCTATTTACAAAATAATCGCGGTGTCTCCCTTTTGAAGTATATCGAGATTTCTGACTTTTGGATGGATGGATTTTATGAACCAAATGCGCGATTAAACCTCTGATTTTGCTATCCTTTTCTAGGAACATACTATGTAAAATGTATCTTGGAATGTTATTTCTGGTAAAAATGAAAAATATATATGTAATATTAATGATTACATCCGTAGAAATGTCGAAATGTTCTCTATTGTTATGAAAATTTATACAATATTCATTTGGAATCAAAGTCCCGATGAATATGGATCTTTGAAAAGGAATTTTCAGTGTTTTGTGAATATAACTTATGATTTAACAAGAAATTGTAAGAAGTGTTTAAAATAACCGTCGCACACATCTTATACATTAATTACATTGCATTTTACGTTGAATTGTGCCTCTGATTCCTCAGCATTTTCAATTGATCAAGAGTATTTTAAAGTAATCTTATGAAAAATCAAAGGAATTTGTAGTAAGTCGATTTTCTAATTTTTAATGCTGTCGTTATCATTATATCATTGTGCATACCTATAAGTATATTTTAAGATGTCGATTTTGTGCATCAGAAAACCATCATTCATGAAGTTAGAACCGGCCTATACAGGATCTATTCATCTTTCACGAAAAAAAAACTAAACCTGCATTCTCCTTTCACAAAACTTCTTAAAGGAAACAAAAAAATTGCCGTCAATTTTCTGCATAGAAATTCACAAAAGTCTTGTCTACATTTATTTAGAAAAATACACGGATCTAACAATGGCATAATTTAAGAATTTCTCTTCAAGTTTGCTGACGAAAATTTAACGCGGATAACTCATTTCGATATATAACTGCATGTGTATACAAATTGATTTTGTATTACACGTGCAGGCAAAGTGGCACTTTGTGTGCGTGTTTTCTGTGCGGAAAGCGGTTGATTTCCCACGCCGCCATCTAGCGACGACGCGGTGAGTGAATAAGTCGCGTTCAAAGTCATTGCCCACGGCTAAAGCCTCACCTTCGACTCGTGCGCGTCCATCCCCCGCACTCGTGACCAATTGTCAACTTTCCGCACTTGATACACAATATACTATTTATGTTGTGCATCTTTTTATCTGATGCGACATATTTTTCTATATATCTAAAAAAATCATATACGTTGAAAATTAAATCGATTATAATCTTTAAATTTAAAAAACAAGAAGTTTACGGATCAAACTTTTTTCCCCTCGAATTCGAAGTGCGAAATACGCCGGTAATTCGTGATACACGTGGCATTTCAGAAACATCATTTTCATAACGTGTTCAGCTTAACTCATTTAAACCTGCTTAACTCATCGCAGTGCTAGGATTAAATCGGCTTGACAAGCGTAAAATTTGTACGCCATGTTTTACTAACTAAATGTTACATTTGTACGCATATTTTCGAATATCCTGGTATTTGAGAATCGATGTAATTATATATGAAACAATCTGTATTTAAATATAATAAAAGAATCTCTCTCTCGTTCTCTTTCTCTTAGAAAGAAATTAAAGGAATAAGATAGTTTATAGATAATGTGACAGCAGTAATTTTATGCGATAGATTCTATATTTTCACGTTACTCAAATTAGATTTAAATTACTAATTAATTAGTATGTCGTTAGCGCAAGCGGGATTTTTAAGTAAGACAGTAATAAAAAAGGAATTATTGTACAATAGATATGACAAACGTCGTAAACATAGCAACTTGATTAATGACTTTATACAACGCATTGTAAAAAAATGTGTAATATATTACATAAAAGTATGCAAAACTACATAAATTATTAAGTGTAAAATTACACGATAACTAATGTATACAATTTCATTATTTATAGTGTAATTTTATACTTATTATTTATGTAATTTTACATATTTTTTTTACAGTGCGACTTTGATTCCTCGCGCTAAAAATTTTGTAATCTTAATTCCATTCCGCTGTACTTATAGCGCGCAATTATTGTCGAATCGTAATTTGACAAGAAAATTCAGTTTTCATTTTATACTACGCGTTTCCCTTTTAATTTCCTCCATACTTTTCAAGGTCCTTTTTTAAGAGAGAAGCGCGGCGCGCTAAAACAAAACCAAGAGAATATCAAGCGAAACTTCCTCCATTTTTATATACGAATCGATATCGTTGAAAAATCACGCAACTGTAAACGCACTCTAGAGGTTTCTCTGCTCTCGTCGGGGATGATGAAAGGTTCTGACACGCTTCTGCCGCGAGCGACGTCGATGGCGCGCGCCGGCCGGGAGCGAGGCGTCCGTCACCAAAAGTGGCCATTTAATATCTCGAGAACGGGACGAGATATCGGGACGGGATTTGCGCCGGACGATTCCTTACCGTTTGTCATGCTCAATTATTTAGGCGCGGATCCGATCGCGTCGGCGGTTTCCGCGCGAGACGCGTCGCAAGGTTTGCGCCTGGAGACGCGGCGCATGCGCGTTGCGCACAATCCAACGACGGGGTTTTTCCCCGAATTTTGCACTCGACGACTCAAAAGTCGACCAATCGCACTGACTACGATGTCCGCGCTATTTCGTTAAAATGTGATTAATTTTCGCGGATTTCGGCGCAAAACGAATAAAACAG